TGTATATATAATCTTGCATGGCTTGACTGTTTTTTAAACACTGTGTTCACGTATTACCTATTTTAAAGAGGTGATTGTTCAGAATGATGCCTATTAACAAAGGCTTCTTGGTTATTTAGTATCTTGTGTGTCATTTGATGTTCAGAGACTGGGCTCTGGTTGTACCCTAGCTTTTGCCCTCCTAGGAAAAGCTAGTTGATGTGATTACTTCTCCTTAGCTGACTAGTAAAAACCACTACCACCTTATCTTTGTAAATATGGCCAGAGGCGGGGTGCATGAGTAGCTCAATGAAGCATCTTGATCTCGGCTCAGGTCATGATCTCACACTGTGAGTTTGAGACCCCCGCTAGTGTTCTCTCACTCTTTCTCTCTCAAATAAATAAAAAACTTAAAAAAAATACATATATGTATATATATATATATATACACATATACATATATGTGTATATACATATACACATACATATATGTGTATATACATATACACATACATATATGTGTATATACATATACACATACATATATGTGTATATATATATGGCCAGAGGTGCTCTATTCCATCATTCCTCTTTCTAAATATCCTCAATGAGCTTTACGCAGTATCATCTCGGCATTCCCACAGAATTCAGTTTTGTAACCACCTCATCTATTTGGATAAACAGTTCCTGTCAACTGTGTTGACAATGTGTTCTGAGAGCTCCCTCAGGAATATAGGTCACATTTCCAGTCTTGTTCATATTTGACATGGGAAAAATGGGCTATTATCAATATAAATCATACTCTTATTTTTATTTATATTACTATTTCTTGATAGTACATTTCATTAAACAACAAATTTCTTTTCTAGAGACAAATCTTAACAAGCTAACTTTAACAAGTGCAGAAACTGTAGTATTTAGAAGTTTATTGGTCTGTCACGTGCCGAGCATAAAGGGTATATTTTATTTCTTGACAGAATGGTTTTCCAAATGCAATCTATGGGAGAGACCTAAACATTGTTTAGCATGGACTTGTTAGTAGTGTCAATTGACAAAGCAGACGCAAGAAACACATCGCTGCAGCAAAGACAAATTTTTGAGTTTGTGGCTCCAGTCGATCAATTTTCCTTGTCAGATAAAAGAATGAAGCAATGATAGTGGTGATAAAATGCACCTCTTTGTCTTTCCTTGGAAGTAACTTTCCTGAAGTTCTCTTGCATCTAGTCAATGTAATAAACTTCTTCCTTTAATCTTGGATGATGAATAGCATCTTAACCACAGGTTACACAAATGGGCACCATTTCTTTATGGTACTTCACTTCCATCCTTTTTCCTTTTGCCACCCTAGGCTTATTGACATCCTTGGTTCATGATTTTTTTGTTCCTTTCAAATGCAAAGAAGGCTGTGGGGTGGGACCTTTAAGATTAACTCCACTTCATTGCATATCAGAAGAAAAGTATGTTCACCTCCAAGAATTGAGGGGCACAGAGAATGTGTTCCTTCAGTTATTTATTAGTAATCAAACAATCATCCCCTTCCAGCTCCTCTCCCAGCTCACAATAATGTGCTCTTTAGAGTTAAGAGGACTTCTTTTGAAAATTCTTTCCTAGCAATGAGAGATGACTGTTTTTCTGTCCTCCTTATTCTCTCCTAAATCTAGTGTTTCTTTCCACCAATTTAGACTAGCTCTACCTCATAAATCCTTGTCAAAGAAGTAGGTTGACACTCTGTCAATGCTACTCAGCATGTAGTACTATAATAAGTGTCAAATGACCATATCCAAAGAACAATATGCTTTATGATAGAAACCATGGAGGAACTCTCCTCTATATAAAGCTAATCTCTGCACCAGAGCTTTGATGCCTAGTCCCTTTCACCCTTCTAGGAACCCTCTCATCAATTATGCCTATTTTCTCTTGGTTACTCAATTAAATCCTTATCGACTGAATCCTTGCCCAACATCATTTCAACATGTTCTAATCGAACCCAATTTAATCCAAACAAAGCAAAATGAAACGCACTTTTGACCTATACTTCCTTTACTGACTTACGCCTTTTTCACCTACAAAATCAAACTTATTTTGGACTTCTATCTCCATTTCCTCATCCCTGCTTTATTCTGGCCTCTGCTATCACCCCTCCAAACAACTGTACACAAGATTCCTGAAGGCTTCCCATAGCACTAAATCTAAGATACTTTTTTCTTGTTCTCATCTCATTTGACAGGTAAGTAACGATCTTAGTAAGGACTTGACACTGGTGAATACTCCCTACTTCTTTCCAGAAATACTCCGTTGGCTTTCTTTAATTTGCTTTTAATTCTCTTACTGATCCTTCTCTCTTGCAACTTCATTTTCCTCTACAGGCCATTCAATATTGTAGTATCTCACTTCTTTTTAGGCCTTCTCTCTCTAACCTTGATCCTAACAATCTCATCCAAATCAGCAGTTTCATTTATACTGACAACCCCCAAATGAATATTTTTAGGACAGATTTCTCTGGCTTAACACAAAATGGGGTTGACTTGCTTCCAATATCTCTACATTGAATTCTAAACTTTACCCACCCATCTCTCCCAACTCCAAATAACAATCAAATTACGGAAAACAATATTCCCCTCTCTAACGTAGCTTCAAATCCTGTTGATTCTACTTTCTAAAATCTCAAATCTTCCCTCTTCACTTCCATCATCACTACCCTAGTCAAGTCCCTCGGTGTAAATTATTTGTCCAAAAGTCTTTTTATTTCCATGATAAAAGTTTAGTCCTAGAAAGTGCTATACTTATTTGGGTTATAATTTTATTTTACTTTATTTTATTTTATTTAATTAATTTAAATGTTTATTTATTCTTGAGAGAGAGAAAGCGCCGTACAAGCAGGGGAGGGGCAGAAAAAAAGGGACACAGATGGGGGCGCCTGGGTGGCTCAGTCGGTTAAGCGGCCGACTTCGGCTCAGGTCATGATCTCACGGTCCGTGAGTTCGAGCCCCGCGTCGGGCTCTGTGCTGACCGCTCAGAGCCTGGAGCCTGTTTCAGATTCTGTGTCTCCCTCTCACTGACCCTCCCCTGTCATGCTCTGTCTCTCTCTGTCTCAAAAATAAATTAAAAAAAACGTTAAAAGAAAGGGACACAGAGAATCCCAAGCAGGCTCTGTGCTGACAGCACAGACTTGCCACTCCAACTCACAAAGTGTGAGATCACGACTGGAGCCCACATCAAGAGTCAGATGCCCAGTCAGCTCCCCAGGTGCCCCTAAAATAATATTTAATACAACTTTTAAACCCTGGTGTTCCAGGGGTCCTGGGTTCCAGAGTAGCTCAGTTGATTGAACATCCAGCATTTGGTTCTGGCTCAGGTCATGATCTCACGGTTTGTGAGGTCGAACCCCGGATTAGGCTCTGCATCGACAGTGTGGAGCCGGCTTGGGATTCTCTCTTTCCCCTATCTCTCTGCCCCTTGCCCGTGCTCTCTCTCTCTCAAAATAAACAAACTTAAAAAAATAAAAATAAAAACCTGGTGTTCTGTAAGTCATTAGTGTCCATTTACAAAACTTATTGTTCTCTTTATATTATCTAGACATATATAAATCTAACCATCACTTTGATATTTGGTCTGTAAGCCTATTATTATATATCCCTGACTGCATAGGGCATAGCATCATGCTCAGAACACAAGAAACACTTAATGATTATTAGATAAATGAATAATTGTTAAAAATTAGTTTCTATTCTCCCTTATGTTCTATTTTAATAGTGTTAAATATTGGGTGTTACTCCTGATTATAATCTGCAAAATTTCATTCTATGCATTGAGATTGCTAATCCATTCAGATTTGTGTATTATGGAGGATGGCTTCAGCTATTAACAAAATGAAGGCAAGAGTAAATATGGGCAGAATCCCTAACGTTCACGGACTGTGAATTCAGATGAATACTGAAAGGGTGATTGACATGATCCTTGGGGTTTGCTTTAAAATATTCCAGCAAAGAAAAAAAATTGGGCGTGGTGGTGATAGATAAAACAAGACTGAAAAGTGTTGATAATTTCTGAAATTCTGTCATTTTATTATACTTTGAGATTTTCTTGAATAAGCAGTTTTAAATCTTTCAGCTTTTCCTATTTTTTTTTTTTTTAACTCTCAGAACTCCCTTTTGGTTAATAATCTGTGATGGATCCTGGACCCTGGAGGAGGAAAACTTCACAACCAGTCCTTTTGCAAACCTCTGCCTGTCCACCTGTGAACACGCTAACTTATTACAGGAGGCTTTATTTTTGCTATATACATTATCAGCAGATAAGTATCTATACATTTCCTTTTGAAAAGAAAGTTGTGGGGGGCACCTGAGTGGACTGGACTGCTCAGATCAAGATCTCAGGGTTTGTGGGTTTGAGCCCAAGTCGGGCTCTGCTCTGACTGTGCGGAGACTGCTTGGGCTTCTCTTTCCTGCTCTCTGCTCCTCCCCTGTTCTCTTTCTCAAACTAAATAAATAAATAAACTTAAAAAAAAAAAAACAAATAAAGTTGGCCTTTGGCACAGATCTCAAATTTACGGGGTACTAAACCTCCTCCGATATTATACCAACCTCTTTATAACTAGAGTAGCACAATTCTTCCCAGAAACGGCCCTGTTGCCCCTCACGTCACGCGTTTCGGGGACGGTGCGGGGGCGTCGCCAAGCTGGCGTTCCACGACTGGCCCCTCCCCAGAGCAAGAAGGCCTTCGCCTCGTCCACTTCGGGCCTCATCGAACATGGGGAAAGAACAACCGGGCGGTCGGACCCAGGCCCCGTGGCCACCCCCCCCCCGGGGCCTCCGGCAGCCCCGCCCCGAGGGCGGAGACCGGGCGGAGCAGCGCCAGCTCTCCTCCGCCTCCTCCCGACTCCCGACTCGTTGCTGCCCCGGGTGCTGGCGGCGCATGCCTGGCACCCCCTCCCCGGCCCTGGATTCCACTCCCCTCCGCTCGCGCTGCAGCCGCAGCCGCCTCCAGGCCCCGCGCCGCCTCCGGAGTCCACATGGGACGCTATGCTCGGGGCGCTGCTCCGGGGCTGCGGCTGCAACTGCAGCAGCTGTCGGCGCACCGGCGCCGCCTGCCTGCCCTTCTCGACCTTAATCACTGCCGGTTCCCTCCCCGGCGTGGTCGGGCCGTCGCCTGCCTGCTGCTGCTCGGGGCGGCCGCGCCGCCCTCTCACATGGGGCCTCCAGACCGGGCTCGCCCGCCAGGGAAGTGGCAGGAAGCCACCCCCCGGCCGCTGCCGCCGCGGTCATGACATGGCTCTTACCCGGCCCTGCGTGCCCCTCTGCTGCCGCAGTCGCTGGCGGCGGTCATGGGCCAGGCGCGGAGCTACCAATGGTGGTGGGCGCAGCGAGGGGCCGCGCGCGGGACCCTTTCCCGGCCGCGCGCACAGGCTCCGCGCCCTCCAGCATTGCGCTCTCGTGCACGCCCGGGGATCCGCGGCACGCGCCGCGCACCCTCCCCCCCTTACCCCCGCCCGCCCAGTCCTCCTATTGGGCCCCAGAACAAGGGACGCTCTCCCAGGCCTCGGGTTTTCTCCTTGTTTTGTTCTCTCGAGTCTCTGGTCGGTTGGGCAGTGTAAGTGTGGCTAGGGGTGAATGTTGAGGCCTTGTTTCCCGCCGGCCCATGGTAGGTTTTGTGAGGCTGTTGATGCCCCCACCCCGCATCCCTGTCGCTCTCCGCCCGCTGGTGGTGAAGTTGGGAGGCTGGACCCGCGGAGGGTTGGGAGTTTCCGTGCAGTCAGAGCACTAGGCCTAGGCGGCCCTGGTGCGCCTCGCAGCCTGCTGATGGGGAGGTTCACGCACAGAGTTACGTGGGCTGGGTTCGTGGGGAAGGAGCCTCGTCGCCAGCGCTCCCCTCTCCCTCGTGTCCATGGGGAAAGGCGGGCTGCCCCAGTTTACTGAAGGTCACCTCTGCACTTCACCTCCTCTAGCCGAAGGTCCTTTGGGACCATGGGTCGCCGCCGACGGGAGGACGGTGTGGAGACTGAAATATTGGGGGAGGGGACCTGGAAGAGGGGACGCTTAGGGGTAAAGCCACGACTTGGGGACCCAGGAGGGAGGCTACAGTGTTTTCTTTTTTAAAGTCAGTGTGTGTCCTTTAAGAACTCGGATTGCAAATATTTTGTGCCTTGTAGGAAGCTTTCTTTTCTGCTTGTTAACGTGGCGTCTGGGAAATATCAGTACACGTTTTGACTACCCACTTCTGATACCTTGGATCATATTTATCTAATTCAGTTTGTGCTTCTCCTTGAACTTAAGGGAAACTGGGAGGCTAATCAGCATGGCTTCTGCCTGCCAGTGGCTGAGCTAATGGATTTGAATCCTGGCCCAGTACTTTGTGCTGCCCTTTTCGTAAAAGCTTGTGATGCTTGTGGAATTCTGGGAAAATGGGGAATGTTGCCTTTATTAAAAAACACAAACTATCTCTAATAAGCCTTTGCCAGCTGGCTACTCTCTTGATTATTTTTCTGTGAAATTGACTATAGTATCTGTTGAGCCTTTACTAGTGTTGTTACACACCGTGCTTACATTTATCATTGACTTCTTAAAATTCTATGTAAGTCTTCATGAAAATGAGGAGAACATACAGAGGAGTGAAGTATCTCTTTAGCCCGATAGAGTGCAAGTCACTTGTCTTAAAACCTGAGTTGTCTTTCCACATTGATAATTGTGCTTGTTGCATTTTTATTAAGTATGTAAGAGACTTCTGCTAGAGGTTTACATTTATCATTACTTCTTGTAGTTAGACGTAAGTCTTAATGTAAACGTGGGATGGTCCAAAGGAATCTCTTTCCTTAGGCCAGTAGAGTGCAAGTCTTAAAATTTCAGTTGTCGTTCCTGGTTATGGTTGTAGTGCTTATTGGAATCTCATTAAATTCTAGCGTTTGCTTAGTATTGTAAAATAGAGTTCTTCGGGTATGTCTCAGGTTTCTGTCACCTTATACTACTACTGTCACCTTTTATGATCTTTCCCTTATTCAGTTGGTCGGATTTGCCATTTGACAGATTAATCTTTACACGCCTCCTGCTGTCTTGTTTTACCCAGTCCTATCTTTTATTGACTCCCCTTTGCCTACCAGGTTAAGGGAACACATTGAGCTTGACACTCAGGTGCCTCTGCTATATGGTACCAAGTTCCTTTTGCCAGCTCATCTTCTTTGGCTCCTAATTGTCCCTTGCAGTTTAGCCAAATGGGATTATTGCAGGTTTGCAAATGGACTGTTGTTCATGCTGCTGCTTCCCCTCACCTCTCAAACTGGAATGCCCTATCTTTTACATATGGCTGTCAAAATTCTGTCCTTTCAAGGCCCATCATATATTATGTCTTGATTCTTCTGTTAATGCTCTGTTTTGAATTCTTCTAATAATCTTATATCTTAATTACAGCACTTAAAGCATCTTGTCTTGTAATGCTTGTCTTAGTTTAGATGGTAAGCTTTTTGAGATGAGGGCCTAACATGGCACATGGTGAGTAGGAGGGACTTGTATTTGTCAGATTGAAGGGACTCTTCTTGTCCTCCCTTAACTAAAATACTATTGTTATTGGGGCTGATGAATTTAAAAACAAGCCCAGAATAAAATTTATGTCCTGCCAAATCACTGGGATATACCTGCCTGTTGCTTTAGAGTATACAATTTAAGCCAAAATAGGATGGGTTAGATTGGGAAGTTTATTTCTTGCCTCTGAAATAGTAACTGTCTCCTAAGAATAACATTCGGAGTGTTAGTTTGCGGGAATAAACAATTTCTAAGTAGGTTGTCAGAGAGGTATTTTTACATTTTTCCATTTTTCTTGGAAGGAGTCCAAAACGACCTACCTGGAAGACCTTCCACCTCTCCCTGAGTATGAATTGGCTTCGTCCAAGTTAGGAGAAGAAGTGGATGATGTTTATCTCATTCGAGCTCAAGGATTGCCGTGGTCGTGCACTATAGAAGATGTGGTTAACTTTTTCTCAGGTATATTTTATGTATGTTTGAAATATGTAATTTTGTCTGAGTTTTTACTCAGACAGGTAGTCTCACAAAACCCAAGTTAAGCTATGCTATAGACGTCTTATTTGATATTTGGGAATTGTCTAGTTCTGACTGGTTTCATATCATACCAAGTAACACCATGTGTACCATTTGTGGCATAGGCCAGGTTTAAAGACTTTAAATGCAACTAAAAAATGTGGTGTTCAAACTACATGGTAGAAACCAGTTTTCTCTGAAGTTCAAAAAGCAAAACCTGTTAATGATAGCTCTTTATATGTAACACATACATTTAGAATACAGGATCACTTAGTGTCAAGCAATATAATTTCCTTAATAACATTTTTGGAATGTTTACATATCTACAGTTAGTTTTTAAGTTCTGTATCTGACTGTGATTTTTAATATTCCTCTAAAAGACCTTTAGAAGATGCCACCTTAAATGTTATAAAATCATATAATAATATATTGTGTACTTTCATGTGCATAACATTGAGTGGGTCAAGTATTTTATGAAGCCAGTTACATCTTCAACTAGTTGCCATTATAAGTATGCAGTATGGGGATCTTTTCCTTGGTAATGAAAAGGGGGCACAATCAATTATGGTAACAACATTATTCTTATAGCATTTTAGAGTTCTTATAGTTACGATTGTAACAAAAGAAAACACTTCTATATAAATCTAATCATATTTTAATTTTTTAAGTGATTTGAAACTGATTGTAGAAGCATTGGGAAGGGCATAATTTGTTCTGTGTTGAGCTTGTTTGCTGTTGTAATGATCAGGAGATTATAAGCTTATATGTTAAGGTTTGCTGTCCTTTTCAAGTGGAACATCTTCCAGACATCCACCTTATTAGCATTCAGACGCCTTCAGTGATGGGGGTTTCTGTAAGGAATATGATAGGCATTTTGGTTCATGCGTTGTTTTGTTGTTGGAATTGGAAGATTGCATTCTAGTGACTTTTATAATTGAAGTAAAAGTTTGATTTCTGGTTTTGATTTTACTCACATACTTTCAGACTGCAGAATTCGCAATGGTGAGAATGGAATACACTTCCTCTTAAATAGAGATGGGAAACGAAGGGGTGATGCCTTAATTGAAATGGAGTCAGAGCAGGATGTGCAAAAAGCCTTAGAAAAGCATCGCATGTACATGGGACAGCGGTATGTGGAAGGTATGTGAAGTCACGTTCTGGCTTTTTGTGATCAGTATGTTAGCCTATACTGTCTAAGGCAGTTCATTTGATCCTTAGCAATAATGAAGTAGTTAGATGTTAGGAATATATCCTTTTGTAGGCTGTGAAAATGAAGCTCAGAGATAATCTCAGTTTCTTATTTATAAAATGAGGATGTTGACCAAGTTTACTTCACAAGATGGGATGTTTAAGTCACAGCTGGCACACAGTAAATAGTCAATAAATATCATTTGTTATTTTAAAATTCTTGGATAACCCAAGAAGTGTGATTTTTTTTTAATGTCTTCTTCTGTTATGTAAATTTGCGTACTTTTTGTGCTTTTACATTGCAGTTTATGAGATAAATAATGAAGATGTGGACGCCTTAATGAAGAGCCTGCAGGTCAAATCTTCACCTGCGATAAATGATGGTGTGGTTCGTTTGAGAGGACTTCCTTATAGTTGCAATGAAAAAGACATTGTAGACTTCTTTGCAGGTGCTTTTCAGTTATATCATGTTTATGAATTATATCATGTTTATATCAGTATATCAGTTACATTATGTTCATGCCTTGTTTTTTCCTCCTGTTGTTTCCTTTTATATCTTAGATGAACCTTTTCTCCTAGGTAACTGCATTCAGTTATATTTGGTTCTTTAGGGGAGAACTCTTCACTCAGATTACCAATGTTTATAGAAATGTTTTGACCTATCATGCTGATCTTTGGTGGACGCCACATTTCGAAATTATTTCATGTAGGTTTATTTTACTATTGAGAAAGGTAATCTCTCATAAGAGTGGCTGTATTTGTCTAAGACAGTAACAATTTATATGGTTTAAAAGCATTATCATCTAATTTTAGCTCTAAAAAATGTACCAATATTAGTCATGTTAGTCTAAATTCTTATTTCTCCTACAACACAATTAATGGCAAAAAAAGAGAGGAGAGATTGTGTGTTTTAGATGGACTGCATGGATTCTAAACATTCTGGAAATACAGATGTGTAGGTGTAGCTGGATAATAATTTTCTTTCCATTAGGCATGTATTCAGCTTAGAGACTAGCAAAATACACCTAAAATTTTAATAATAAAATTTAAAAAAATTAATAGTGTGTGAATGAATGTGTTATATTCTAAGGATAAAAAAGACTCCTGTCAGCATTAATTTGTAATAATTTTTTGGTGTCCTAGGACTGAATATAGTAGACATCACCTTTGTCATGGACTACAGAGGGAGAAGAAAAACAGGAGAAGCCTATGTGCAGTTTGAAGAACCAGAAATGGCCAACCAAGCCCTCTTGAAACACAGGGAAGAAATTGGTAACCGGTAAGTGAAGCAGATTCTAATAATGTGGAAGTATCATACATTGGGTCATTTTATGAATGCGCTGTGATAGAACTGTAAAATTATCTAAACACAGCAGAGAGGATAGCATGATGACATACAAATGCCTGACACTTAGGATTAACAAATTATTAACATTTAATATATCTGTTTTTTTCAGTAGGCATCTTTAGAAAGCATTTTCTTACCTTATGTGATCCAAGTATTATCACATCTAACAAAATTAGCAGTAATTTATTATCTAATGCCAGGCCATAATCACTTTCCTAATTGTACCAAAAATGTCTGAGTTGGTTTTTTTTTTTTTTGGTGCCGGAATCTAGACATGGTTCACAAGGTGCATTTTGATTGTTATGTCTCCATTTCTCTTAAACTAGGGCAAGTTCCCTTCTCCTTTATTTATTTTTTTTTTATTCTCTTCCCCTTTTTAAATGCAACTAACTTGAACTAACTTGAATAAACTGAATCAGTCGTCCTGTACAGTGTCTCGTGTTTTATATTGATCTTATTGCTTCTTCATTGTGTCACTAGTTTCTTTGTATCCTCTCTTATTTCCTGAAAACTGGAAGTTAAAGCTAAAGTCTTAATTCTTGATTCAGGTTAACATTTTGATATGGATACAATATAGGTGTTTTTGTATACTGCGTATTACATCACATTAGAATGCATATGATGGATGGGTTCATTTGTGTCAAATTTGGAGGAGTACTCAAAAGTGTCAAATTTTAGATTGCTGTTTTACTGCTTTCTGGCTGTGTTATTTGGCTGCTTTGAAGTTTAAAAAAAAAAAGAAAAGCCATTTTAAAGTTGTGTATTTCAGGATCTTTGTATAGAATTGATTCAAAGGTCTTTATTAAATTTTTAGATAAAAATATGTATGCAAAAATACCCTCTCCCCCCATTTTCTTTCAGTAGTTTTCATGTTTTCTTGTATGTCTTAGGACAAATACATCAATGTTTTTATGTGGTAATGTTATGGCAGTGTATAAATCTCTTCAATAAATTAAGAAGTGGTGCCTATCTAATAGTTATGGATCTGTAAATACAAATGATTTTTGCAATTCAATCTTGATAACTTAATTTGGAAAAGCAGTCTTGAGGGAAAAAAAAACACAAAAAAACAAGCTGGTTCCAGAAGCTTGGATTTAATAGATAATCCCACTGCCAAGTAGATAGCAAGTCAGAATTGACATTTAGTTCATGAATCCTCATTGACGTCTTGGTGTCGTTCTGGGGGAAGTTAACTCCTCATATACTGTGAATTTTTTAAAAAATACATTTATTTTGAGAGAGAGAGTGCGATTGGAAGAGGGGCCGAGAGAGAATCCTAGGCAGGCTCCATGGTCAGCACAGAGCCCAACACAGAGCTCAATCACATGACCATGAGATCATGACCTGAGCCAAAAATCAAGAGTTGGACACTTAACCAGCTGAGTTACCCAGGCGCCCCTGGTTTTTAATATCTTATACAGATATCATTAATTTTCACAGAATTGACTTGTGAGGCTTCAAGAGATTGATAACCAACTATAAAAAACAAAACCTTTCTTACCAGATTATTTTCATACACACAATTAATCTTTGCATAGTTGTCCTCATGAAGCAAGACAGAATAGAAAATACTGTTAAAGGGTGCCTGGGTGGCTCAGTTGGTTAAGCGTCTGACTTCAGCTTAGGTTATGATCTCAGGATTCGTGAGTTCAAGCCCTGCATCAGGCTCTGTGCTGACACCTGGGAGCCTGGAGCCTACTGCAGATGCTGTGCGTTCCTCTCTCTATACCTCCCCCACTCATGCTCTGTCTTTCTCTCTCAAAAATAAACATTAAAAATATAAAAACTAGATAAACATTAAAAAATTTTTTTAAAAAAGAAAGAAAATACTGTTAAAATGTATATGAAGAAAGCTGTTATCTTGGGCAGGGATGTGAGAAAGATTGAATCAGTGACCTGTTCTGTTGAGAGTACTTTTCATGGGCTAATATCTATATCTTATCTTACTTTTCCTCCATCACTTGTGTTTCATAACACCTTTGTGTTGGAAATATTATATATGTATGTTTTATTTTAAACGAGTTCAGTCTAAAGTTACTTTGCATTGCTTGTGCCTGTTTACTTTTGCTTTGACATAGATATATAGAGATATTTCCAAGCAGAAGAAATGAAGTCCGAACACATGTTGGTTCTCATAAGGGAAAGAAAATGACATCTCCTACTGCTAAGTATATAACTGAGCCAGAAATGGTCTTTGAAGAACATGAAGTAAATGAGGATATTCGACCCATGACAGCTTTTGAAAGTGAGAAGGAAATAGGTAAGGACCTGCATCCTGTTGAGATTTAATAAGTCTGTCTTGTGATACTAAAACATTTTTTATGAACATGTTGTATGAAATGATTAGATTATAGGACCAAGGAATTGAGTTGAAGATTTATCGGTCTTTGAGTGTAGTTATGTACTTTGAATATGTGCAGCAGGGCTTAATTATTTCATAAAGTTTTTTTATTTAATCATTTTTGTAGATTCTGTATAAAAAGCTGGGTAGCACAAATATAAAAGGAGGTAAAATGTCAACATTTACAGATGAGGGGTGCCTGGATGACTCAGTCAGTTAAGTGTCTGACTCTTGGTTTTGGTTCAGGTCATGATCTCATGGTTTGTCAGTTCGAGCCCTGTGTTGGGCTCTGCGCTGGTAGCGTGGAGCCAGCTTGAGACAGAGTCTCCCCCCGCCCCTCCCCTGCTCGTGCTCTCTCAAAATAAATAAATTTAAATAAACAAAGATGAGAAAAGATGTGGGTAGAGAGCAGAAATGTTGACTGAATTAAAGAGTTTTGTTTGCCTCTGTATTTAATTATTCCTCTGATTCCTGACCACTAAGCAACACTGAAGTTTGATAAATCCTTTTTAAACTGGTGCTATGGGATTATCCCATTACCATATTTATTCTTTTTTAAGTGGCTATAACCCCCCAAATTTCTGTTGCCTCTATTTCTTCACTCATAATCATTTTTCTTCTCTTTGTTCTTATAGAAAAATCTGTAGTTTGTAATCTGGTATTAGTTTGAGGCACTAAATCTTTGCACTAAATATTCATGGGGGTTCAGGTGATATTTGTTAGGTGTCACACATTTCAGATTATTTTTGCTTTTAAAATTAAAGCCCTTCCTGGGGCTCCTGGGTGACTCAGTCGGTTAAGCGTCCAGCTTCAGCTCAGGTAATGATCTCGTGGTTCCAGAGTTGTAGCCTCTCTGCTCTCAGCACAGAGCCTGTTTCAGATCCTCTGTCCCTCTCTCTCTCTCTGCCCCTCCCTGCTTGTGTGTGCTCTCTCTCTGTCTCTCTCTCTCTCTCAAAAGATAAAAAATAATAAAATTAAAGCCCTTCTTTACTGGTTCAAGAAGAATTGAATAATTGGACATAAAGATTATGCCTAATTATAATCTGTTAATAACCCTTGAAGCCTTTATGTTCCTGATAGTGCTTTTTGTTCCACTTCCCAGAATTACCTAAGGAGATGTCCGAAAAGCTTCCAGAGGCTGTTGATTTTGGAACCCCATCTTCACTACATTTTGTCCACATGAGAGGATTGCCTTTCCAAGCTAATGCTCAAGACATTATAAACGTGTGTGGCAGTAAGATACCCAATCTCAATAGGTTTGAACAAAAGTTCTAAAATTGAACTTCTATTAATTTGGGAAAGATAGAGAAGAAAATACCATATTTCTGAACTATCTTTGGACAGTAAGATGGCATCTCCATTGTTGTAGAGGCTGAGAAGTGTGGGTTTTATTAAGGTCAAATGTATAATGATAAAGAGGATTTTACAGATACAAAATAATGTGGTATATGTTTAGTATTCTAATTAAGAAAGTTTGAAAAAACAAAACACCAAAAGACAGATAAACACAGACAAAAAAACGAAACAGGAAAGTTTGGGTTTTCTCCAAAATGGTTCATTTTATTCATTTTTGAGTTTAGGAAACAGACTCAGAGGGAATTTGTCACAAGGCAGTTATATACTAAACAAGAATCTAGTGTTCCTATGCTTAGAACCATGTAGGCTTCTTCGTCAGGATTCCGTAATTCTTGGAGAAAAGGAATTTTAAAAATACTCTTATAATAGATAGTATATGAAAACAAAAGGAAGCAACAGCCATATTGACTTCATGAACTTGAGGACATATACGTAAGGTAGATTCCAGCCTAGACTCTTCAGTTAGTGGTGGGGCCTCAAAATTGTCTTCATTATTTTAAAAAAACCCGATAGGAGTCATATCTTTAACCAGACGGAAGTTGCACAATCTCATTAAAGTATTACATTCGTGTTGCTTTGGTTTGAAATGATAACCATACTCAGTGTGGTAGTGGTTTATGTAGTGCTGGTAAAAAACCTGATTCACAGGTACATGTCTGATGAAAATATGGTAAAAACGACTTATTAAGAAATGAAGTATATTTGATGGATGCTGTTTAGAAACAGGGAAGGATAAATTAGGGAGGAGTAATAAAAATAGTCCTTGTTGGCATAAAAAAGTTTGAGTATTCTTTGTGTAGTGTACTTATAGTTTACGTTTCCAGTGAACAAATATTTGAAATGTAACCTTGAGTTCCAAAAGGATCAGAAAAGCCAGAAGAGATGGTAGATGTGTAACTACATTGTTGCCTAAGGAGATTTCCTAAAAACAAATTTATTGAGCGTATGAATCAGAGTCTGAAAGAAAAAAATGCAGAACCTTAAGACTTCTAGAAATTGGGCCTCCTACCATTATGTTCCTTTTGGCTTCTTTTGTTGTTTAGTTTTTTGCTCCACTGAAGCCTGTTAGGATCACCATGGAATATAGTTCCAATGGGAAGGCCACTGGAGAAGCCGATGTGCACTTCGATACCCATGAGGATGCTGTTGCAGCTATGCTCAAGGATCGGTCCCATGTTCGTAAGTGCTGCTCATGGTTTCCATTGTCATTTTGGATGTCTGTCTTTGCTTACAAATGCCTTTCTGTATTTTGAGTTTACCTAGACTTTTTACTTGGGTAAACTTGCTCTGTTAATACTACTAAATTACATATAAAAAGGGCAAAACACTATATTGTAATGAAAAGCATTTGTTTGCTAATTCTGCATATTTCTATACAGAGTTAGGTAGGGGTTTTTTTGCTTGTTTTTAGATTTTGTTTTTGTTTTTAATTAGGAAAAGTAATGGACAAAGGGTTTGAGTTGCTGTCTGAACTATGAGAAAATGGCTGCAGTATTGTTTCTCCCTTTTTAAAAGCTTTATTTTTTTTTATTTTTATTTTATTTTTTGAAGTTTATTTTGAGAGTGAAAGCACGAGTTGGGAAGGGGCAGAGAGAGAGAGAGAGAGAGAGAGAGAGAGAGAGAGTCAAGCAGGCTCCATACTGTCAGCATGGAGCCTTACAGGGGACTGGAACCCATGAACCCCTGAGTTCATGACCCTTCAGCCAAAGTCAGACGCTTAACTGACTAAGCCACCCAGGCACCCCTTCCTTTTCAGTTTCTTAAAATGAATCTTTTTTTGTCATTCTCAGACCATAGGTATATTGAATTGTTCCTGAATTCATGTCCAAAGGGAAAATAAGACTTCCAAGGACTCCAGATAATAAGGTAAATTTAAAAGGTACAATTGTGGGAATTATTTTCAGTTGATAAATTAAGCATTAACTCATTTATAATATGGTGGAAACCATTTTTTTTTTTTAATGAAGATCAAACTAATCATGATATTGAGCATCACAAAGAATCTTTTGGCATCATTCCCAATATTCATGAATCTATGTGCCTAAAATTAATTTTTACCTTTAATACCTATTAATTATATCACACTGAAAATGTGCTTACTACGTTAGTTTTTCTTCCTATAAAATTTAAACATATTTTCTCAGTTTCTAAGATATTAAGATGTTTAAAATGATTCTCCTGAAATCGGGGTGTACATTGTTATGTTCACTTAATGTAACACTGTCTCTTTTCCTAAAAAAGTGTTATGAAAATGGTTGTCCTAGGAAGTACATGATTTCATAGTTAACCTATGACAAATCTAAATGTTTTGATGTCCCCTCCCTTGACTAAATGTTATGTGGTATCTTTTATTTCCCTCTAAAATCTTTTAAAGTATTATAATCATTTTTTTGTATATAGTGGTACATTTGAGACTGTTAACTAGAATGATTTCCTGGAAATACATGGAGCATTTCTTTACTATAGTTGTCATAGGCTATTTTTGAATATTAAGTCCCACAATCTTGTGATGTTAGATATTAGTTAAATCCATGTTATATGTATTTTGTGCTTAATTGTGAAGATCTACTGTCTTCATACCAGGCTGTAAACACTAATGCCTAATAATTGTCCTTAACTTAATGGATTTGTCACCAAATGGACTTGCACTAAACCAGAAAGAAAAGAATTGATCATTTTAAATGGTCTGGGAATGGCAACGCTTTTTTTTTGTTTGTTTGTTTGGGCAACACTTTTTCATTGTGAGTAAATGTCCAACATTTTTCATTTTATTTTCAGGATGAAACAGGAAGCATTTCATTTGCACATCTTTCCTGGACGTGGAGTATAAAGTTCCAGTTTTGTAGCAGCAACTGCTAGAGAAAGGATTTGGGGGTTTTGGGTTAATTGCTTATAAGACAAATTACATAGTGGACTATTTAGAAAGGAAAAGGAAAGTTTCAGTTTGGAATTATGAAATAAACCACAAATTTAAATTTTTGTTTAATCTTCAGGATCTGATTTAAAAATCTGGTTTTTATTTTATACGATTAAACACTTTGTTTTCATAGAAGTTATGTTACCCAGTGTAAAGACTACATATTTTTTTTCAGCACTGTCCTTGAAAATCTTCCTCCCATTTTGCAGATGATCTGTTTGAGGTTTTGTCTTTCTGCCTGTGAATTGAGAGCTCTGATTGTAAAACTTCTCTGGAATGAAATGCTGATTTATTTTAACCAAATACTCACCAAAGCAAGGAAAGGTTTCAGACCTTCAAACCATTATGGTTTGGCAGAGTAGTTATAATTTTAGGTGTATTAGATTACTTAGGTAGGGGTAGAAATTTAAAAGAAAGAATCAAAACAAAAAATAAGTACCACAGGTTAGTGAGTGTAAATGACAACAATTTGGCAGTTTTAGGTCTTTAGAAATGTTTTGCCTTTCTACGCCTTGTGCTAAAGGCATTTGACATTGGTGCCTGTAATACTAAAGGAGAGAATTCTAGTCTCAACTTAAAAGTTCACTGAACACCCACCCCCAACGTTTTTTGATTTTGGGTAAATCATAAGGTGTGTGTTAGTCTCAAAACTGTGAAGTGACATGTGAGAGAACAGTCCTGACTGGTAAGGACATTAATGGCTTCACTTGAATTTAAACCAGCTCCCTAGAGGAAAAAAATGTGTCTCCTCATTTGCTTTTTCAGTGGGATAGCATATCCCGTATTTTAGAACAAGTAGGGGTGCCTTGCTTAAATAAAAATAGCATTTAATGTATAATTGTGTGAAGGGTTTATGGATAAAGCTGTACTTCTGTCACATTGTGACAGTACCTTCTGCTTAATATTAAACAGCTTGTTATTTAAATATTGGATCAAAATGGCTGGCTTCAAAATGTAGTCGTTAATAAACTAACTTTCTGTGCACCTGTGTAGGAGAATCAAAGTCCTGTATACTTTCTTTGCCTTGTTCCTGTTCTCAGGGTGACGACTGCCACATAGTTACCAGGAGATACAATTCTAGTTCTTAAAATTGAATTAGCCCAGATTTCTGAGAGGTGATATCTGGAAGAGAGATGATGCCTTCTCTCACCTAATACATAACCATATTTGATTACCAGCTAAGATATGAAATCACTGTACTGTAAGTAGTCAATAAATGAAGGCTTGTTTCAGGCTGCAGATTACCTAAGAGTATTTATTTTGGAGTGTGTGTATCAACCAAATATATTTTTGTTACATCAAGTCCTGGTATAGTGTAAGAAAACATTGTTAATTTTCATTTGTGTTTTTATCATATGAGCTTGAAGTAACCATCTTAACATCTTCAGTATTACTACTTAAATAGAAATGTGTTTTCATATATGGTTGAGTGTATCAAGCTATCAGAACTGGTGTCTATAGTGGAGTGATATATTACAATATGATCTTTTCTCTCTGTTTAGCAGTAGGTATCTAATTTGCCATGAAAAAAATCTGTAGGAACTGTTGGGATTGGGGTTGGTGAGAAATTCATTTGCAAATATTTTAAAGCCAATGAATTTTCATTTGCACATCTCTAGGAAAAGAATGAGAGCAAAGCTTATGTGGTGGGTAAGCATGAAGGGGTGTATCTTACCACACTAATGACTGAGTACTGCGTACAAAAGGTGGCCGTTCTTGGGAAGTCATTTTATAAATTCAGACACTTGACTATACTCCTTCCTTGAATAGGTGATAGCTTGTAATTTAGGATAGTAAACGAATGATTGCTGAGACGGCAAATGTAGTTACTGGAAGGGGAAGAAAAGCACGTAATAGCTTAAGAGTAATCTTTTATTCCATCCAATCAAAAGACATATTTCTCTCTCCTGAACTTTGACAAGACTGGATTGTGTATTATTATTAGCTATTGAAAGAAGTAATGACAGTGAATTTCGCCCTTCTGCTTGGGTCCTTTTGTGTCTTTATAATCTCTTTTGTGGTAAAGCTATAAAAATAGCAGGTTTGGATATGGCCAGGTTACCCATCCTGCTTTAGATAGCTACTAGAATTGCAGGAGGGAACTCTGTGTAGACACCCAGGAGGAGATGGCTAAAGATCATGATCTGATTGATACACCCGCTGATAGGAGAGAATGAAGCAGGGTCCCAAAGTGTTTGTCCTTCTGCCTGGTCGAATAAGGCTTCTGCCAAGTAGGAAAGGAGACTGTCCACTGTGGACTGGAAGTCTCTGTGGTGTAGGGAGGAGCAAGCAGGAGAAGGCCACTTACAGCCACATGCCCTTTTGAGGCAATGGCCTTGCTCATTATTAATCAACATGCCCTATTGGCATCCTCTGCCATAAACAGTCCCTTAGCAGATTCTCACTTGGCGAGGTTTTTTTTTGAGTTACATTCTATTCACTAACATTCCATTGTTCTAAGAGTTTCCCCTAAATTATGTGAAAAGGTTCACATTCAATTGGCAGGACCTTATTATGGAGTAGAATGGTTTATCGGCAGTAAAGTAGAGGCAGGCCTAAGTTCCAGGGGCTTTGAAAAAAATTGCTGTAATGTAGTAGGAATACATTTTCCCTCAATTCAGCAGATTAGAAGAGAATCTCTGAAGTTTGTAGGAAGGGAATAAAGCTGCTATAAACATTCATGTGTAGGTTTTTGTGTGTACATAAGATTTCAGCTCATTTGGGTAAATACCCAGGAGTATGATTGCTGGATCATATGGTAGGACTATGTTTAGGTTTGTAAGAAACTGCCAAACTCTTCCTAGGTGGCTGTGCCATTTTGCATTTCTACTAGCAATGAATGTGAGTTCCTGCAGCAATTTGTTCTTCTCAGCATTTGGTGTTGTCACTGCTTTGGATTTGAGCTATTCTGATAGATATGCGCTGGTTCTCTTGTTTTAGCTTGCAATTCCTTGATGACCTAAGATGGTCAGCATCTTTTTATGTGTTTATTTACATCTTCATATTGCCTTTGGTGAGACGCCTTTGGTTTGGTTTGCCGCCCAGTATTTTAGTTAGGTGGTTTTCTTACTGGATTTTAGGACAGGGATATATATATAGGAAGGTTTATTTTGGTTCTTAAATCTGTATGATATGAAAATAAATGGTGGGGTAATTTGTAAGTTGCTTATATTTTATTTTTTGAATGAAATAAAATCGAGAGATATGAAAGGGTAAACAGTGAAGTCTCCCTCCCATCCTGTTCTTCAGCTACATAGATCCCCTTCTCAGGCAACCCTGCCATCAGTTTCTAGTGTAAACATTCAGTGATATTTACTGTGTAGATAAGCAAATATTAGTAGATATTTTCATTTTAAAAATGTAAATTTATAGTATACTAGACATGCTGTTCTGTGCCACTTTTTTCCATTTAATACATCCTAAAGATCATTTTATATCCGTATATAAAATCCTCTCATTTTTTAAAATGTACAGTATGGATGTACATAACTTAACCTGTCCCTTACTGGTGAACAGGAAAATTGCAATCTTTTGCTACTGTAATGCTGAAATGAATTACCTTGTAATAAACTTATGTCATTTTGTACATGCATAAATTTCTCTAGGATAAATGGTCAGAGTATGTGCACTTGTAATTTAGATCTACAATTAAACTTATGTCTATAATTTGTTTTTTCTTAGTTTGCACCAGCAGTGCAAGTGCCCATTTTCCCATAGCCTCATTAACACAGCATATCAGCAGTCGGTTCTTGGCCAATCTTGAGAGGTTAAAAAAAAACCCAAAACACAATGGTATTCTTCTATGAGGTGGCATTTCATGTTTAAGACTTGTGGGATTTCCTTTTCTGTGAATTGTCTTTTTTTCTCTCTTAAAATCTCCATCTACTTATTCTCTTCATATTAATCTTAAAGCAGATCCAAGA